TGACAGCCGCGCTGGCTGAAAGTAGACCCGTGACTTCACATTCGGTGACTTGGGCGTTCAATAAGTTGCTGCTTCATTCGAAATTTGCAGGAACAGAAATTCGTGAAACCAGTTAGGTTATGACGCGCACTGACGCTCAGGTGAAAAGCAAGTACGTGGGAAGGCTCCCCAAAACATTAAGAAACTGCAAGGGTGTAGTAAATTTCACCTATAATTTATCCGCTTGCAGAGATTGTAGGTAGAGATCGTGCTTATTCGAGACAGTACCCTTTGTGAAGAAGCCTTTACTGAGTTTAGTAAATTGCAGTGAAAAGTTCTATAAAAGCTGCCAATTATTATTATTATTATCATTATTGTTGTTGTTGTTGTTGTTGTTGTTGTTGTTGTTGTTGTTGTTGTTGTTGTTGTTGTTGTTGTTGTTGTCTCCCATACCAAAACAGCCATATGATTACGTGTAAAGCCGTATAGTCTAGGACCTCAGGTAATTTTTTTTATCTTCTGGGGTTCTTTTTAACGCGCATTAAGCCACTCAGTGGCACGCGTGCAACACACATGCTTGCGCGGGATGCGATGGTAGTGAGCACGCAAAAGGTCAACGTTAAGTTGTTGAAACAGCATGAGAAACCACTACGACGACAGAAAGCGCAGCCGGGAACGAGCAGCCACACCATAGAAACCAATCGCGTATTGGAAAATTTGAGCAAAAACGCCAACAAGCAAAACCTCTGTGTGGGTGTGTCTTGTGCTCTGGCACGCAACACACAAAATGCCACGCTCCTTAGCGCGCGCATAGGTATATATACACGGTACTTTTTGCGTTTTCTTTTCACGCTGATCCATCGTAGTTGCGTGCGGCGGCCATGGCCGGGGCTCGAGCCCCCGTCTTGGAGCTTAGCAGCGCGACGCTTTAGCCCCCAAGGTATACCACGGTGGGTGGAGGGCGGATGCAATTAAGGGCCTCTTTAAGGACGTTCCTATTACATCTCACCGAAGCAGTGAAACAGGTAAAACGACTTGATTCGGGATTGACTTTGACAGAAAGTAGCAGCTTAATCACGGCTGCCCAAGCACTTCAGTTGGTTATCTATGAGGTGATAAGTCACCTTTAAATAATTAACTACGTGTCTGCGAAAGCTTGTATTCGTGATAAGTTTCTTAGAAGTTTATTGGTTTCATTTCGTTTTGCCTTCTAGTACGTATAGTATAAATACTCTTTCTGCAACTAGTTGGGTGTCTCTAATTGCCGATACGAGCGAGGCCCACGATTACCCTAAAGCTTCTTAACTGTTCAGCTTAATTTCCAGGCCCACAAACGTCACTGAATTTTGTTTTTATTTTTGTTACATAATAAGAATAACCAACCTTGCTAAGTTTGTGAGCGCATTTTCTATTGTTGTCAAGACAACACTATACAAGGTTAATCTGCTGAAGCGTATATAAACACAGAGAGAGAACAATACTGAGAGCGAAAAAATTAAATAGGGCATTTGTCAGCAGGCCCGCAACAAAATAAACTCACGCGTCCCAGAGCTCAAGAGTTTTGTTTTCAGTGTTGCATGCGCTTAAAGTAGAACGAACGCGCGTGATGCAGACCGTGGCAAGTGTGGCAAATGCGCTGAAATAGTTGAGTTCATGAAAAAGCACAGTTCATAACGAAGAGAAGCTTACTAACGCAGAAACTTATCGGAACACGCTTACCCACGCTGAAAGAAACAACGACGCTGCTCTCATAATTACTTAGTATTTCTTTATATATTCTTTCGCTGTCCAGCAGTTCAGCCATCTTCGTCAAGATAAAAAACATCGCATAGCTTCGGGTTTCACCAACAACTTCCCTTAGTGCGTCGTTTCTGACGGAAAATATGGCGTTTTCAGCATGGCGTGCTGGACGTGGCAGGTACCCCTCATTAGCACTCGCGGACTGAGAACGTGCACAACTTGCGTTACTGCTCTTTTTGTTTGCGATACGGTCCAGTCGGTCTCTGGTTACTTCTAAACAAGGACATCGGATGCCTTTGGCTCTAAACAAAGAAACTTCTGTCTTTCCAAAACCATGAGTTCGCGGCTATCAGGTTACGTACGTGCCCCATTATAACTACGAAAATTATGGAACAGGTAAATAATCGTTATGAACGCTCTAAATCATTGGCTTCTGTGAGCAGAAATAAATTGTGCAATTGTTTCTCTTCTTACTCTAAAGTTGCCTTCACTTAAAAACTGAGTCACTTTTTGCCCCGTTTTATGTTATTTACTCTTTTGGCGCTCTGTCATGCTCAAATGCAAGCAAATGTGCATACGTCTTATACATTTCCCTTGCCGAGTTTCCAAGTGCACAAGCACAGGTTTTTTTTCCTCGTTTTTCTTTCGCCCCTCTGTTGCGACAACGCAACCCTCGGCTTCAACTCCAGCTTGCCGACTGTGTAGGTTGAGCGTGGCGCCATCGTGCAGCCGGGTAATTTTAACTGTTATGCTTATTCGCTTTGAAACTGCACTTTTGGCTGTAACGTGTGTTGATTGCCATAGTCGCTGCCCAGCTGCTGCTCGGAAACGCTGCCCTCTCGCAATGCAATATGTCCCTGGTAATTATTTTTCTCGTGAACCAGCGGTATACAGCTTTAAAGTATACGACGCGCCCAGCATCTTTGTAACGAACATCGTGACGCTTATACGCCACTGCTAACGCACGCTAGTCAGCGTGAATGCCCATCACAGCTCTGTCGCGCTCCGACGGTGCAATACCGCCGTCACACGAGGCACCTTTAATCGCGATCTGCAGGGCGATCTGGATTACTTTTGTTGATCGTGGCCCGAGCTAATCCGCTTCGAGCTTGGGTCAGATGCGATGCACCAAGTGGCACTTGCGTGTCGTGAAACGCCACTGACAAAACCCGTCGTACGATTTTTCTATAGAGCCATTTATCAGCAATGTTATTCGTGCAGGAACCGATCGAAGGTCAAATTTTTGCGTACCACTGCAAAAGTAATTTCATAAATCTATCATTCGATAAAATTTTCCTTGCACTTACATGTATTGCAGTGTGATATTCCTAACCTTCGCTTTTATTTTCGATGGCTCCCGCTCTTAGCCGCCCGATCGCAGCGAAGCGTCAATCTCGTTGTACGTGCCGTATAGTCTCACTTCTGGCACCTGAAGTCTTCCAGCCACTCCTGCCAGTGGTCCATTACTGTAAAGGTCTCTTCATCTGACTAAGAAGTGCACGTACATTGTGACGTAGTCGAAAGGCTTGTGACACTCATAATCAGTTTGCTTCGAGGTGCTCCAACAGCTCCGATGGGGCGAGAGTTGGACTAAGCGCTGAAGGCATGCAACGGCAGACTGATTGTCGTCTGCTTCATTCGTAACTACATGCCATTGATACGAATCTGAAAATATGTAGTATTACAGATATTGTTCCAATATAAATAGCTTTTGGCTTTGTATAAACATTTGCTTTTATAAAAATTGTATTTTTAAAAACATGGAGCTGTTTTAAAGTGTTTTTAACTATGCTTGATTTTCTCGTTTATTGTGCTTTCAACAAACTCGGCCAAGGGGTGCAGACGGCAGCGAAATCACGATCTCTCATGCAGATCACGATTCGCTGATCACCATAGGCTCGATCCTGATCACGCCTGATCGTGATTGAAAGTGGCCGTGTAGCAGCACCTAATACGGATTATGGTTGATTCAGATCTACACTGATCGGGATTGAAAGTGCCCGTGTGACACCGGTATAACATTCGTCACCAACGCTATGTTCGGGCCATGAGGATGGGAAGTGTGGGCTTAGGAGAGGCAATTACACCATTCACGGAAAACTGCTAATTACACTGAGAAAGAACTTGTTATAGTCAGCGCCCAGTATTCCTGTAGTCTCCGAGACACGGCCGCTTGGCACATGTGGCTGTGCCGCGAAGATTCACTACACACTTACAAAGTTACTATACTGTAATACTCGGGCGCTGGCACTGTGAGCCTTTGTCAGCCTGCCCGTTGCTGCAGTTTTCTATGATGGCCTTTAGAATGCTGACGCATACTTTTATTGCGGGCAAAATGCACGAGCCCACGCATAACAAAAGATGCGGGAAGCGTCTGTCATTGCACGCTCGAAACAAACTGTCTGTAACAGTATCAACAGTACACAAGTACAGTGGGCAGCGTCCTGTTTTCGCACCAACTTGTGCAGTATCGACAAAGTTAAGGCACGAGTATAAAAGCCGCACAGAAAATGCCTTTTACAGAGCGTGGAGCCTTTCACTTCCCATGTATACGTATTCAGACCAGGGCGAATGAGTCATGGGGTAAGCCCCTCTAGTTGCGGTGTCGTCAATGTTGTCATATAAGTGCATCTCGGGTACAGTGGATATATCATGACGGCGTAACGGCTGTGATATCATTTGCGAATTTGGGCACACTCCTGTTGCGATTTCTTTTTTGGATACGCTAACTGTCGAAACACCGCAACTCGAACGGAACGACTATTTGCTTTTTGAGTAAAGAAAGCAGGTTCTTTACTCTCAACGGTCAAGCCACTTGAGCGCTCCAGACAGTGGCGTAGTGGGTGCAGTTTATACTCTGTATATGTATAAACTGCAAGTCTAGCATGTATAGTGTATACACGTGGAGCACACAGTGTTATACGTTCCCAGCCAAAACTGTCAAGTAATCTAAGCTTTGTATCGCATCGGACCGGTAGCGAGCCTACTAGAGTGCCACTCATTTTAATGGATATTCCTGATTCAAGCAAACATGCATTTCAAACATGGAAATTGGCGCGTGAGGTCCGCCCGTTCGCAGATGTCGCCCCATTCGTCTCGCTCTGCTTTCTTCTCTAACGAATGCAGTTAAGGTGTAGCTATGGTGTTTTCTTGCTTCGCTCGCTTAGTAATAACATCACCGAAATTCGCAAATATTACTCAGTTCTGACTTCGCGAGTGCATCTCACTTGTTGTGTGCATAAGAGTCGAGTTCTGATCTATGTGTTGTGATGATTTTGCAGGTCATCGGGCCGCCGGGTCCACCAGGCCTACCGGTGGGTATCACTGATTTGATCGCATGCGATAGACTTCATGTACTTCTCAAGCTGACTCCTACATTGTTAGTTTTTTTTTTTCATTAAAACAAACTTGTCTAGCAGTGACAGAAACCTAAGCCATGCCAAATTGTAATCGTTTAAAGAGGTTATAAAAGGATACCACTTCCAAACATCTTGACCGGTATAAACAAATCGGCCGCAAATTGAAGATTGCAATATGTGCCGTAAATTAATCATAATGCTCTTTAACAAACCTTAGTCAACAGCGTGTACTAATTAGCTCAATTTTAGCCGTTGTGGATAACTCACAGTTTATTTCCAAGCAGGTAAAGGAATAACATTCTTCGAAGCCAACCTTGTGTACTTTTTGAACCAAATCTACTACACCCCAGAGATATTAGTCGAAAGTGAGTGCTGATCGCATCGTTCTTCGAACGTGCTTTGGACGTACGTTTTAATTGAAAACTGCACTTTGCTACATTGTGCTCATTGAAGAGAAGGAAAAAAAATGATTCTTTTCAAACGCTACAGCTCTATGTGAGTCTATTTCGAGCGACACAGCACAGTTTCATCACATCAATAAACTCCGGCCATTGCCTCACTTACTTGCCCCGCACACGAATCCTTTTTCATAACTTCTTTCTTTTTGTATTGCTTTCTTTAACTTTCCTTACTTTCGCCTGTACACGTGTGTGTGCAAAGAATGTGTACATACCACCCGGAAATTGGTTTAGCCATTTGTCCCGCGTAAAAAAAAAAACAATTACTCGCCTTCGGCGGTTTGTCTGCTGGCTACGAAGGGACATACACCGCGAAAGTGTTCGCACACACCACTTATTTTTCTTTTTTCTAGTCACGTTGACGTTGTAAGGAACGGTGACATTTATTACTTTCCCCCACCGCGTTCTATATCAATTATGAAGATCAAAGAAATGAACAAGCATAACCGACTTAAATCAAGGAGAAAACCCGAGTTTTTGGACATTGCCTCCGTGGTCAATCCGAAACGGAATCCTGGTTTGTGTTTACGAAGCAGTCCTCACGTGATTCGCAAGTACACAGACGGAATGATAGGGATAGCGGACGTAATTTATTTTATCGCTCACTTCCCTTAACGTATCGAGACCGGGTGGGTAAGGAGAAAAAAGCGATATTGGCACCTGCATGTGTTTTTTTCTTCTATTTTTATGTAGTCCGTTGTTACCCGCGAGAATTTGTTACTAATGTGGCGCGCAAACCACGCCGCTACGTTTTAGAGCTTTCGCGATCGTATGAGATCATTATGTCAATGAAGACTACGCACCGGACGCGAATGAACAAGTTTAATCGCTCGCTTTCGCGAGCACCAGCGATGGAGCTTTCGATGCCGCATATATAAATGTCGACGCGCCTGACCACATTGCAGATTACCGACGGCCGACTCTCTGTTCTCTGATATCAGCGCTCAGCTTAAGTGTCTTGTGCTTTCCGCTTTAGTTTTTCGGGCAAAAGTTCATCCACATAAAGAGTTCCGCATCTTTTAGGCCTGCTAATAGTAATAATATCTGGAGTTTTACGTCCCGAAACCACGCTTTGAATATGAGAGACGCCGTACTGGAGGGATATAGAAACTTTTACCATGTGGTGTTCTTTAAGGTGCACTGACGTTGCACAGTACACAGGTCTCTACCATTTCGCCTCCCTCGAAATGCAACTGCCGTGGCCGGGATTAAGCTCGTGACCTTCCGGCCAGCAGCCGAGCACCCTAGCGGCTGATCCACCGACTGATTCATTGGAATGAACTTCCGAGGCCTGCTGCAGCCTGCTTCATTATTACGGTCATGCTACAATATAATTGAAGACAGGTCACATGATTTGAACAGGAGCGCCACCAATGGATGGGGGTCTACCCGCTATACGCAATACTTTTTGTCCTTAGGAAGAGAAGAACAAGCACTCATTTATATTGGTTCTGGCGAAGCAATAGCGCGGAAGGCAGCTTTACGTTATGGTTCTATCTCGTTCCTGGGAGTTATTTTGATTTTCATAGTAGAGCAAGTTGGTTAATGATGTATTGGTAAGTTTTTGCCTCCTTGTATTTTCTACGTAATGATGACGGCTTGATGTCTGGTGTTGATTAGACCAGAGGGGAAGACTTTCCAGAAACACCCAGATCAATTGGACCTGTCGCTTCTCTCTATACTCGCTCAGGTCTGCTCCTGCTGTCATCTGTGAAGAAGTCCCGAACGACGGGCTGTGTTCAAGCATGTGTCTTAAATTCACTCGTTGAGCTGAGTGATTTATTAGATGCGAAGCAGCTCTTTAAGTAGCCTGTGTAACGCTGTCCGTCCGTGTCTCCATGACAACGCGCCGCATCACAATCCCCTCGCCGCATCTGCTGGAACAATAGCAAGTATAAGTCGCAGTTGCGCGTTGACGTCGCTCCCTCCCTCACCCGCAGCAGCTGCTGGCTCCCCCGCCAGCTCGCAACACACTTCTCACTCGCTTCACTCTCTCCACCACCTGCAAAGCTCGACCACACGTCGAGTGGAAACACTAGACAGATTTATATGCGCGTTCGCAGCAGCCGTACGGATGCGGCCTGCCATTACCAATGGCTAGCAGTCTGCGTCCATATGGCTACTGCGGACGCCTGACAATCTATCCACTCTTCAAGCTCGTTCATCTGCGATGAAGCTTACACGAAACCGAACCCATCTCCTGTGTCTTCGCGTTTCAAACAAGCGTTTACTCGAGTAAACGCCACACCGAATTTCGCTTCAAACCGTTCTTCCAGCACCCGCGTCGACGCCCGTTTCGACCAGGTCAACGCCGTGCGCACCGCTACTGCTTCGCATCCCATCAGGGTTCCCTTCGGAGAGATGGTCCATAATTTTGCTCAAACTCGTGCTATGTATGGTTTGTGTCTTAACAAATATAGCTGTATATATACCTATGCGCAAATTTTATCAATATGTGTTCAGTCCTTGGAATGTCCGCTGGATGGCGGTGCTTCTATATGAGAAATATATGATGAAAAGATGCGAGATGGTGGTACTTGGAATGTTGAATAGGTGGACGAACGGACACACAGACAGATGCATGGACGGACACACGGATGGACGCACGGATGAGCGCAGGAGCGGATGCATGGACGAAAGCAGGGACGGACGCACAGATGAACGTGTGGACGCACGAACAGACGCACGCACAGACGGGCGGATGGACGCACGGGTGGCCACACAGACGCACGCATGGATGGACGGAAGCAAGAACGAATGGACGTATGGATGCTTCGCCCCACTATCCATCATTCGCGCCGTGGATATGCTGCCATTTTTTGATAGATCAATTTGATGACCAAGAAAACCAACATCAACGTCCTACGGAATTTTAAGTTCTTTCGAACATGTCTATCAGTGTTGTATGAATAGGGTCCCAAATCGTATACGCATTCACTAAGGTTTATTGAAATTGATTGTTCAGTGCTGTTGCGCAAGAGGACATACTGATGCGTAGAAAACCCAGCACGCATTTATAATTCCCATTAACGCAGTTCGCATGCACATTCCAGGCTCAGTGTTAAGTAAGGTGCACGTCGTCGCTACATTGCCTTCTCTGAAAAAGAGCTAAATGCGGGCCAAGTCGCTCCTGAAAGGAACAATGTCGCCAGTGCAGAATCGCTCTACTCTTACGGCTTTAAGATTCGTCAGCCAATCACACCCCCAGTAGTGTAGACTTAGCGATAAGTGATAGAAAAGGCTCGTTATGACATTAGATACGAATCAGTCATCCGCGAAAGGATTGCTAGAAGGCATATTTATATAAACAGAAAATGTTACTGTGTTTTGGAAATATCGCAGCATTGAGAACTTCGAGCGATGCGTAGCGCCTCTAAAGGATGAAGTATAATGGTGAAGCTCTTTACTGAATACTCAGTCAAATTTCTCAATGCCATAACAGTGTGTTCAGTATCAGCGGTAAAACTTGTGTAAAACACTTGTTAAAGCACACCTAATCAAAGGATTCGGAAAACTTTGTTGAACAGTCTACTTTTGAGTGAGCGTTGATAACAAAATAACTTTGACGAAGTTCATGGAAGAGCTACCCAAACATTTGTTGGCTATGACGTAAGGAACACACAGGGCTCAACATAACTGACTAGTTGATAATAATATGCTTGTTTTGTGAGCTTCACAGTACGCTACTCTGGTACTGATCCACACCTACGGTTCCTGATTTGCATACGACAACCAGCTTCTCCTCATTCTAATTACTGGGCATAGGTGCACGCTGTGGTACTAGTACTTATTTTTAAAAAAAACTTGAAAAACGTTCAAGCTAGTGTGATCACCAGGAACTCGCTGTTTGCTCGGGGAAAATATGGATAATTTCAATGAATGTGTCATTGAAATCAAGAAACGAACAAACAGGAGCCCATGTCAGAACGCAATAATCAGTGCGAACGTCCGTATGGCAAGCAGCGCGTGAAGCGATGACACAGAAGCATTATTCAACTCGTCACGGCAATCATAATATCACAAAGTTCAGTATTTAATTACCTATAGGTCACCGACAATGCTCCTGTGTATCCGCTTATTGTGAAGCCTAGAAAAGAGTGACGTGCACAGATGCCATTTGCTTTTTGCTCAGCCTGATCGTCTACCTGGTCAGTAACAGCATAGGCTATACGAAAATGGCAGACTTGTGTTTGGTGGCATATTTGTACTACCTGTATTGTCCCGACAAAATCGGTAATTGCTCATTGCCACAAATGGACCACCTTCAGATCGAATGGGCTCGTAACGAGCACCACATTGAAGGGTCTCATGATCGAATACGTTAATCTTGTAATTCACTTTTCTGTAAGCCTCAAAATACCATCTGAGCATATATCGATAAGCACGCGGAACACCTCTCCTCTTTTAGTGTTCGTTTACGTGAGCTACAACCATTGGTAAAACTTAAGGTCACATACTTCTGTTGGGCGCTTTAAGTTAGCTGTGCTTTCAAAATGTTCACGGACTATGTTGGCAGTTTACTGCACAGACGACCCAATATAATTGAATTTTTTTGTCACTGGGTTTATTTAGTGTAGCAAAAGAAATGAACGGACTGAAAAGAAGCACATAGCAGGAAACCGCAGAATTATTGAGCTGCATGAATGAAACGAAATTAAAAAAAGATCCAAGATAAACGCTAGACGGAAGCGCTCAGCGATGCTGGCTATCGTTCATGCAACGGATTGGTTTTAAATTCAAAACATATTTGGCATCCTTCTGCATTGTCTGAAAAAAGAAAAGGCAGATGAGGAAGACTGATCTCCCGCTTTGCTTGACAGCTGTTCATCGATGTAATAATATTCAGGACAATAAATAACGACGCTGTTCGCCGCCATACACATCTATACACGTCTAGATCGAGCACGTACACATCTGGCAGGTTTGTGCACCGCAGCCCCGTTGAGTTGCTGTTTTAGTGGACCTTTTACTAAAGAACAACCGTGCACACTCCAAATTAGACGATGGCACTGTACAACACGGGTGGAGAAATGCGCTGCTATTGCAATGCCCGCACATTTTTATATATATAAAAAAGTGGCGCTACGGGCTACGTACGCCAAAAACCCAGCAATAGCTGCTACATTATTTCTCGACAATTTATTTTTGTATTTAGTTGGCTCGCACTTATATTATCATTTGCAAATATTTCGCTACTCACATCACCTCTGCTAAGTTCGACTCAACATTTTTTTTCCCTGTACGAAGTTAGCCTGTTATTCGAGCAAAAAAAAAGGCCGCTTGTGCTTGTGGCGCAAGGCGTACTAAGAAGCCAGTGGTCAACCTAATACCGATTCCATCGGGGCACGGATGGAATCAGCTTGATCAGATCAAGCCTGGCTTAATTCAACACAGCCTCAACGAGCAGACTTGTGAACCAAGACTTGATCTCTATTTATCTTAATCCCGTTCAATCCGGATTTGTATATCCACGCACATACGACTGACTTGATCCCGGAGGGTCACAATCAAAATGTTCGATTGTCTGAATGAATGAGCCAGGAGCGGCGCCAACGAGGAGATGAAGATCTTCGGCCCCCCCCCCCCCTGCGGCTTTGCCAAGGACCAACATAGTCAAAACAGAATGAATAAGTTTTCCACCTTCCTGCTCACCTGAAGAAACTTACTTGTCGTGCTCACCCTCAACACGATTTCAATACAATTTATTCAGCGAAATCGTGGAGTTCATTTGTGTGATAGCGAGGCTTTGAATGTACACTGTACTGTTTCTCGGAATTGTGCACTAACATTTGTCTGTTCAGCGCGGCACTCGCAGAACAAACAAGCACCTCCGTCCAGTTGGTACAAGTGCTCTGAGAATGTCTTGGCCTTCCGTGGTGAACTTTCAACCACTCTGGACAAACTTGACAATCAGACTTTGTCACAAGATAAAATCCTTGGAGCTTATACAACGCTCCGGTGTTGAAAGCATTGCTTTGCTTCTTGTGGACAAGCGGACTCATACAGACAGACTTTGAGGAAATGTCGAGCATTATTTGCTGTCATACCACAAATATTTCCCCCTTTTGTTTTCTTGTTTTAGTAGCATTACTTACTATCATCTTAAACCCTGTCACATAGGCACTTTTGATCGCGATCAGGGCCATTTCGAATTGAGCTCAATCAAAATCAGGTGCTTCTACGTAGTCACATTTCATCGCAATCAAGCCCGATCGTGATCGAGGCGATTGTGATCCTCTTATCGCGATGAGGGTGCGTGATCATAATTTTCCTGACGGTTGCGCTAATCTCAATTCAAATTATGCTTTACCGTCTAGCAGCAACTAGCTTGTTATAAAGATCAAGAGGTCCTGTCTGGATCGGCTCTGATTGCGTCAAAAGCGCCCGTGTGACACCGGTATTATATTTACTATATGCTTTTTTCTGCAACACAGCGTAGCCAAGTGGCTAGAGAAATAGCAGATCTCTCCTTTTCATATATCTCCTCCTGCTATTCCTACTGCAAGTTGCATCAAGCGGTAATTCTAGTCGAAGTCGAGTAACGTTTTACGGTTAACAAGACTTCAGCTGCCTTACACCTCATAGCTGTCATCAAATTTTCGTAGAAGACGCGGTGTGCTTGAGTCTGACATATAAAGAAACTTTCGGGATCAAAAATGAAAGCTCACTTCTCACCGACCAGCAATGGGCCGTCGAGCAGGCCCACGAAGCGGCCGCCAGGCACCCTCTGTCGGTCCCTACGTGGGAGGCTCCTTCTACGCGCTGAGCGCGTCCTGCAGGACTGAAATAAAGTTTTTCCATTCCATTCTATTACATCGCTCGTTATGCTTTTCCTTCGGTTCGAAACCGTCGGTGTATGTACTAAGGATACATCCACACGTTCATGGCAAATTAATGAGCTCGAATGTGTCAATGCTGAATTCTTTTAGGATATTCAGGCACATCCGCTGCACAAGCAGACACTGCTATGACGTGCTCAGCCAATTCCCGCAGTCGCGCACGGCCAGGAAAGTTGAGAAGAGAAGCGCAAAGTTGCCCTTTTCTCAAACGCCTTCGCCGCGGTGGTCTAGTGTCTAAGGTACTCGGCTGCTCACCCGCAGGTCGCGGGATCAAATCCCGGCTGCGGCGTCTCCATTTTCAATGGTGGTGAAAATGCTCTAGTGCTATGTGCTCAGATTTGAAGGCACGTTAAAGAACCCCAGGTGGTCAAATTTTCCAGAGCCCTCCTCTACGACATCTCTCATATTCATATGATGGTTTTGGGACGTTAAACCCCACATATTCATCTATCTCTTCTCAAACGGTTCCTTTTCATACACAAGCCTGTGCTTCTCACTCTCTTCGGAAATGGGAGCGCCTGCTTTTTCTACGTCAAACAGCAGAGAGTGAGCTATCATCCAATAGGCGACATAAATCAAGAGTAGCGTTTGGATAAGATGCACTCCTTGCCACAGGGTGCCGGCGTTATTGGCTAACATTACATGGTGAGTCACACTTGCGCTCAGTGAAAATTAAGCAATTACTACGGGAGAGAGTGATCGTCTTGATCACACGCGCTGGCATAATTTCTCCCCGTGCCGTCTCTTCCCGTGGGCAGGGAAAACGGGGAACATGCCCCTTCTCACCACCACCCCTTTCTTCTACAGCCATGATGCCCGTGTCTCTTGCTGTGTCGTGACGTATTCGCGAAATTCGGAGGTCATTCGGTGATGACATGAAACAAAAAACTGTGAAGCACCCAATACACTGACGTTTCTGGCCTATGAGGCATACAAGGCTAATGCCTAAATATGTTTTACACATATATCGCATACGACTACTCATCTATTATATTTGCAAAGAACACGTGCTTCCATTTGCCGTATAAGACCAGGTGACGAAGCTAGTTGTTCGAAAACTCGATCAAAAAGGGGTGTCTGAGAACTGTTCAGTCGAATATTTAGTTTTAACGGTTGGCTTTCTTCAGTGAATCGTTCATTCTATAAAGTTTTCTTGCAATCGGCCTTTTTTTTTTTCTTCACGTGCTGGTCACATAGGGGCCGCCTGGATTCCAGGGTCCTCCCGGCATCAAAGGCGACAAAGGCATCGACGGCCAGAAGGGCGAACAGGTGAGAAATAATTAAACGCTGCTCTACTGATGCTTCGTCACAGCGTCAACTACGCGTCAAATACACAAATGGATGCGCGCTAACCACACGTTTCAAGATTTAGCGTAGGCGTTCAGTGGGTCTAAATTCTAGACACAGGCACGTCAGTCTGTGTTACCGTAAAGGTGCCTTGCGTCCTCATATGGCATTTAAAAGAAAATTTCATGGGTGATTATATAATTATTACTTTCAATATGCTCCATGTAGTACCTAACGCCATTCTTCACTTGCTGCGGCGTTCTACTTCGGAGGTATAGTTTACTGGTTTCATTCTAGACCTGCAAAAGCAATGCTCGTGTCCCGTGCCCTTCTATCTTTTTTTGTCAAATGCTAGTGAATATAATCATGAGCCTACATAACGGCCACGGCAAAAAACCAAGTCACCTACCAGAAATCTCCAATTCACCATTTTTTTGCCCCATTTCACGCCAGCCAATTCTTTTCACCCCCCTCTCTTTAACCATCTGCCGTCCTCAGTTGCGTTGTCAATTCCTTCAGTATCCATTCCGCCGCTGCTTTAACTGTTCACTGATGATCTGCAGTCGAGGTAGTGCCTATCTTTTCACCCCCCTATCCCCTTACTCTTGCGTGGGACACCAATCCGGGCGGGCATCTGGTTTACCATCCTGACTTCCGTTTCTCTTCCTGGTCCTTCTCTTTCTCTAAGTAATGCAAATGTAAAACGTTAATATGTAGCCCGCCTAGAGAAAAGCGTCAGTAGATAAGAGTTACACGGGAATCCTCTGGTATGCTACCCCTCATAGTCCTTTCACTGCTGTGTTTATTGCTTACACACAAGTAAATATTCATTTTTCCACTTCATTTAGAGCTCACTATAATAATAAACTGAGAACGTGTAATATTTACCAATAATTACAAGTAATAAATATATAAATCAATATTGTTTGGTTGCCCCGCCGCGGTGGTCTAGTGGCTAAGGTACTCGGCTGCTGACCCGCAGGTCGCGGGTTCGATTCCCGGCTGCGGCGGCTGCATTTCCGATGGAGGCGGAAATGTTGTAGGCCCGTGTGCTCAGATTTGGGCGCACGTTAAAGAACCCCAGGTGGTCGAAATTTCCGGAGCCCTCCACTACGGCGTCTCTCATAATCATATGGTGGTTTTGGGACGTTAAACCCCACAAATCAATCAATCAATAATGTTTGGTTCTACAAGAACATTGCTTTGTGGTCAGAATGCAGGAACAATACGTAATAATATCAGTTTGCATGCGTACTTAATTTTGACGCACCTTTAGTATAGCCCACTGCTCTTACAGGGATTATGAACTTTCAAATTTCATTCGCGGAGGTCAATATGGTGCAGTCGCACCATGCCGTTTCCATGGAGAAGCTGCAACAAATCAATAATTGCGTGGGCGAAATTTACCTGTCGTATACTAAGTGATCTGAAAATGGGTTACTTTCAAGCATTAAATTCTGACACTGTCAGGCACAGTTGTCTACGAAGTCTCTTTTCTGCTGCAGCAGTCATCTCTATTCTTGAAAAATGTCCTCGAACAAGCACTCTGTATCTGGACGAATGCAATAAAGTGTTGCAACCGTAGACTTCGTTGTTACTGTGGCGTCTTCCGCAGTATTTCGCGTATTCGTTTACTAAGCGTGTTTCTTGTACAAAGCATGTTAACGTAAACATCTGGAAACTTTTGAATTGTGTTCATAATACAAAGATGGTTTCTGTTTTGTAGACAACCATGGAAGGCATATGTTGTCTTTGTTCACATTTATTTTTCAGGGTGAATGTTCCGATTTCCGATCTATTTTTCGCAAAAGCTAAACATAAACAGAAAGTGTTATCGACTGCCTACCGTTTCTATAGGTATACGTGCCAGCGTCACTGCTACAAAACATGTCATATAGCGTGAGCCATTAGTATGGTCCATTTAACATTATATGCGAAGGCAGTTAGTGAAATTAGCGGAAATTCTCGGTTCATTCGGAAGCTCATTAGGGCAAGTCCCGGAAACTACGTGATAGCGCAAATGTCGCCCATTAGTTGCACTATGTTGGTCATTTTTATTATAACTACAGTTAGTTTGGTCTGTTCCACCTTGGTACCTTACAATTTTTTGCAATGTGAAAAGACCCAGAACGTCACAAAGGCCACATTGACAAAGCAGACATCTTTCGAACAGGGTTTATGACCACGCCTAATTAAATTACGTACACGTAAAGAAACTGCACTGTCTAATCTCTGCATGAACCGAACGTTACTGAATTTCCGCGGCTGATGTAGGCTATGTTAACGCACCTGAACTGGCGGAAGTAACGTTTTCAATGACTACGTATGCCAAAAAGAAAGAGGGGGGGTTAGTTGTTGAACACGGCAGCACCCATGGATACTGCTTCCGCATGAGTTCACGTAATTGCTAAGCTCTCACTATTGTTGACCACAATAAACTTTCTTCCATTTCGTCTACACCCAATGTAAGCTGCATGGGGGCATAGTGCATCCAGTTTCTAAGACAATTCAGCGATACCGGGGTCTGTATGCATGACCAGACGCCGCTTCGAAAATGACAAGATGGTTGTGCATGAATTATCTCGATTTCGACAGGCCTGGCACCAGATCCTACGTTGTCTTCAACGGCGTCTTTTCAGCTGCTGGCCTTCCCGTGCGTACTGAATGAATGCGTATATCGTGTAACGTATCTGCTCATAATGTATACTTATAAAGTGACAAATGTTATTCTAAAATTGTCTCTTATAGTGTTTAGAGCGCGGTGATATCACATCGATGCAGTTTGATAGTACAGCTTGCCATAATGCTAATCGATAACAGAATGGGTGAAAGTTCTCCATCACGCCACTTGATAGCCTTGGGACGATGGGCGTAAAAGATGCCATGTACAGTAATTACCCTAAATATTATAATTTTTTTCAAACAGAATTCAGTATACCTTCACTTATGTGGGTACAAACCAGCAGCGCCGTAAGCCTAAACCTTTTCGCATTGTCCGTGTGCTCCGCTCAACTCCAGAGTGCACTTTTGGGGACGACTTTTGTGAGGAGGGATTTAAGTGCGTGCGTTTGCGTCAGCTCCTTCTAAGACGTGCATGTCAGCGCGCAGAGCGCTTACCGAGGAAACCGGTGGTCATGGCGGCGCGGCTGGGCGCCGCTCTCTTTATTCGCAGGGCGAGAAGGGCGACCTGGGACTCATGGGACCCATGGGCCTGCCGGTAAGTCAGTCTCCCGGGAAGGGGATCGAACACGGGCCGCTCGTACGGCGCCGCGCCGAGAATGCAGGGCTCGCTATTGCCCGGCAAAACGCCCGCTGTCATTTCTCAGGGTCCAATGGGTCCGGTGGGGCCGGCTGGACTACCCGGAAAAGAAGGCCGGACGGGAATCACGGTAAGACCATCACTTCTCGTCGCGCGCCCATCTCGCAAGAGGAGGTGGACGCCACCGCCGCCCTGAAAAGAGCGACGCCCGCTTCTTGACGAAGCTTAGAGAAAGTCGAAAGGTTTTCTTCGTCGCGTTTCGTTTTACCGCATCTTTTCTAAAATTCACGAGCTTCGCTGCATTTTGCGACGCCTGGACGTGGCCTGACATTTCTTCGGCCTCGTAAGTCAATTACACTGCAGGCCTACGGGGAAGTAGGCCGGGCTATAAACAAGGGGCAGTTTTCTTCGTTGCCGCGCAACTTGCGGACTCCTTACTGTTAGCTCAAGACACTTGTGATAAGAAAGAATGTGAGTGAACGAATTCGAACTCCGGCTGCCCTCGCTTTAGAAAATTGCGTCAATAATCGTTACGACAGTCTAAGCGTACAGCTGAATGCGCACTGGGAAGTCGACTCCTACGCCCCGCCACTTTCTCGCACCTTCTCAATTTTGGTGTATTCCTTCTGCGAGATGGAACTTTCCAATAAACACGTCTCCGAGCCTTGAGTTTTCGCCGCCTGCTGCTCGGATAATAATACGGGAAAACGGAATCACTTGGCGAGCGATATCGGCACTGTACATTAACACACCTCGTCTCACTAAATCAGCGCACTTGTTCTGGACTGCCTCGTTCATATTGTGAAATACTTGCATTGATCGCATCTAAATATCTCCCAAGATAAAATCTTCCTGTAGTGCTACTACGTTGCTCAGCACGCCCACGAACTCAACACACTCTTCCTTGCATGCCACTTGATCCTCCATAGTCGCATCAAGAATGTCTTCTCCATTTTCCTCCATCGTAGTGACTCTTGTAGCGACTGCGGTGAGTGTTTGTCGACGCAAAAGCACCGTGTACAGCCTCGGTACAACAATAAAAGCTTTGCAAGCAGCAATGAAATATTTTAATAGTTCACAAAACATGCACTACAGTATTTGCTAGAACGGCATGACCAAAAAAAAAACAGACAGTATTATAATGCACAAGTTCGGAGTTCCTCAGGGTGAAGTATATGGTTGAAGGAATGGTGGAGGAAAATAATTATGGTCGTCACAATTAGCCAACGGGAAATGATCGCTTTTATTTGGGTGGGTGGCAAACTTAGTCACTGTACAACGGGATGGGGACAAGGAAGTGGGGGACGCTCCTTTACGCCGCTTTACTAGAGTAACTCTGCGTGCCAAGTGAAATGCAGGTCAAGTGTTGCCTGTACCTGAGCCCTGGTCTCGGCACTGTGTTGTGTGCGCATGATAGGACCCCTGATTGTAGATTTACTACCCTATCTGCCTTTTCTTTATTGCTGTACTTTTGCTTCTTTCTTATATTTTTTTCTTGTAGCGGTGGGTGCCTACCCCCATCGCCGCAAAATGTATAGTTTAACGTGCGGTGTTTGTCACGACTAGCTGAGCAGGTCTATGCGGGCGTGTTGTCTTAGTGTGCCGGCACTCCTGTAGCGTGCGACTGCAGGAACCCTGCGGCCGTGGTACTAGTTTCACGTTCCAACTAACCGTGATTGTTGGTGCGAGTGACGCATCTTTGCAGGAAAGCCGCCGGGGTGTGAGACAGGCCACTGGTGATGGGAGCACACGTTAACACATTCTGGCGAGGTGCATGGTGTGATTGTTTGTGGTATGACTGACGCTCAGCCCCGCCTCGCATACTGTACCCCCGCATCCATCGCGTTGTGGCTCGCGCCGTGTCGCTTAAATCGCGATGTGAAATCCGCTGACCCATCGCCACACTTTTTCTTTCTCGACTCTCTTTCCTCCACAGGGGCCACCGGGTCTGGATGGAATGAAGGTAACATGCCGAGAATACACGCGCGCTCTGGTGAAGGGAGGCATTTACGGTAAGCGCGCGTCCGCTTCCAACGCAGGGTGAACGAGGTGCGCCGGGTAACAAAGGCGAAAAAGGAGAGCCGGGCCTTCCCGTAAGTTGGCGACGCTCCTTTGATTTCTTTTTTTTTGGGCTGATCCGTGGCTACCCGGACTGGCTACTACCATGAAATACCTGCATAGTCTCGGCTTCAGCGAGAGATCAGGATCATGCATAAAATGCGCTAATGTGGAACTCAAAGAGTGCACCTGGTCACAATGACAGAATATGGACAAGGCTTCTGTAGGCCTTTGCTTTTCATTACCGAACCAAGTGCGGTTCTTTTTATTTCTGACGTTATTCTAGGCGCTCTACTAGAAGCCCGCTTACCTGCAGGATGCCATGCGAGCACGTTATTTTTTATTCAAGGTTACTGTCACGCTAATTTGGCATAATACTAATGCACAGTATTTTAATTGCATTTTAAATGTTACCCGGTGCAAGTTCCGGCCGTAGAGCATGACGGTACGTGTGGCGACGTTTCTTTCGTGGCTTTTTTTCTCAATATTTCTCTCGTCTTTTCTGCGTCATTTCTTGCCTTATTTAATAAAGATCCTAAGCGAGAATTTGAATCGGGTGAGCTTTCAAGTATAACAGAGCGGGTAATCTTTGATTTAACAAGAGCGTCATCTAGAAGTGTTTGTCGTGCCGTTCGCACAGCTTTCAAAATTAACTCCTGCTACTTTTCAGGCATACGATATCTACGACGATCAATGTGGAGGAAGTTTTAGCCGTGTTTTTGTTTAGCCTTCACCGGCGCTTTTAACTAGCAAATTTCTTTAGAGTATCGTAACATTCAGTGCACTTTGTATCTTCGCAATCAGCACGCCGAGAAAATGACGGGAAACTATGGAAGCCTACAGGTCAACAAAGACCTGCTTGACACAAACGATTCCTCTAAGTATGAACTTGTTTTCGTAAATTTGCACGGAAGATAGAGAGAAAGAGAGCGAAGAGTAACCTTTATTTGCACCCGTTGAGAATTGCACAGAAGCATGTTTTGGCCTCTGCCCTTATTCATCTCTCTAACCGTCAGCCGGAATTCAGTGGGGTTTGGCTGAGTAAAATTTTTGTCCATAAAAAGTGAGCGTGTTGCGAATGTGTTGCATAGAAAAAAAGGGCATTGTTTATTTCAGCGCTTGCTTAGTATTTGCGAAGCGTATAAAAAAGGTCCCTCTACGCAGCTGTTCGCAGTGAGCCTGATTATTCTATGCTACTTATACGAATAGATCAAAGGCAACTTACGCCGCGTTTAATTTTGTGCAGAATACTCGAAGCTTATTCGACGTATGATAACATTTACTCTGCTTAGCGCGTGGTGACCGCATGAAGAAGCACACACGAAGGCAGGAGTCACGGCCGTGGCTGAGGGTTGACCCCGCGGACGGTAGTACCTGGGCCAAGGCACACCAAAGTTTCCAGGCCCCGTTTCTTCCACGCCGGAGGGCACCTGCACCTACTGACGTTGTCCAATATTTGGTTTCCACGGCTCGTGGTTCATCACCTGTCAGAGTCTTCTCCCTTCACATTGTTGTTTGTCAATATGCGCATCATCTGTGTTATATCACATCGGGCAGTCGGCCAGCTCAGTGCGCCGGCCGGCTGTCTCGCTGCTGTGGCCAGCTCACTCTAATTAGTCGTCATTTTTTCTTTCTTTCCCTTTTCTCCCCTACCCAAAATCAGGGCACCGACGGCATCCCAGGGCTACCGGTAATTATGAAGCTCCTCTCTAGACTACGGGCCCCCGCGTGCAGCCGCTGGCTCGTGGTGCGCGGTCATACCACCCAAACCCAACGCGCGACAGAGCCTCCTGCCCCTACCTATCCTCCAATCCCCCTCACTGTTTGCTACAGCCATGTGCATGCCGGGGGCTGCTGCGCTGTTGGCCGCTGACCTGTAGTGTTGTTGCTTTGTTTATCTTCTTCTTCTGCGTGTGCGTGCGTGACTGTGTGAGATGCTTGCGAGTCCCCGCCGCCCGACGTCCGAGGCTGGGAAGCCACGACGGTGTCCACTGACGCTCTCTTCCCTTTGGCGCCGCTCTCTCTCTTTTGCAGGGACCCAAGGGCGACCGGGGCGAGACGGGCATATTGGTGAGTGTCGCCTTATTCGATTTCCATACCACGCGAATCCTTGGAAAGCAGGCACACGGCGCTTATAAAGGCGCTACCATGCAGAAAGCTCCTTCTGCTCTCCCTTACCGACGCTGCCAATACTCGGTTATGATTGAATCAGTGGCTCTAGAAGAACTTGTCTCAGACCTGGAGCACCAGGCTTGAAGCAGGCACACAGGCGGATAGTTTATTACAAGCGGCACGATAGGCAGAAAAAGTTAGGGACGCCATGCGCGCGATACCATAGACAGAAATTGTTTTCCCGCTACCTACCTCTACGTCTATTAAAATTGCGAAGAACTTGTTGGAGTACAATGCAAGAATATTTCGTAGAGGTTTATGACACACAGAGACATAGCCGCTGGATGTCCCCTAACGTTAAATGGACTGATTCGGCCCTCATGCTGCGAAGAAATTTGTTCCAGGAATATTATGTGTTACGGGTTCACACAGTGTGAAGAACACTGCGCAGGTGTTGTATTTGCCAAAAGTCTGAGCGTCGAAAATGTCTGTGCCTTAATTACTGAAATAAATGCATATCATTGCGGATATTATTTCCTGGTGAACCAACACGCATGTGCTGCCCCGCCGCGGTGGTCTAGCAGCTAAGGTACTCGGTTGCTGACCCGCAGGTCGCGGAATCGACCTGTGGAGGCGAAAATAGTGTAGGCCCGTGTGCTCAGATTTGGGAGCACGTTAAGGAACCCCAGGTGGTCTAAATTTTCACAGCCCTTCACTACGGTGCCTTTCATATTCATATGGAGGTTTTGGGACATTCAACCCCACATATAAATCAAACACGCACGTGTGAAGTCTTGGGTTCCTGCTACTTTCTTCGCTGCGCTATAGGTAGCGCATTATCTATTTCCCAATAATTTTCGTTTATTTGAACTAGTGGCCTGTCCCGTTGGCTAGTTGGCGAGAAATCATGGACAAGACTGAACCACTCCTTTTAGACCACTTCTCCCTTCCCCCTTTAAAGCAAGAGAGGACTGCTGTAGGCTTGCAAGGGTTATTTAGGTTTGCAATTTGAACTGATAAATCAGCGATAATTATACCCGTCTCCAACAATTGCGAATCTTACCGTAAATCACGTCCACCGCTGTCACATCTGCCAGAAAGAACAGCGCCTGTTCATACCTCACAACTTGAACATATTCCAGCAAAGCGCACGACTACGTGAACACAAGAGAAGGGATGCTATGCAGGATGCCCCGAGCTTCTCGGGCAGCTCGCTTGCGGGGGCCATGGCATGAAGACAGTGCAGAGCGCGGGATAGCAGCGTTGATAAAAATCGCTACAGGAACGCGCGTGGCGTTGGAAACGCATGTGGGACTTCTGCGGCAGTTATCAAAGAAACACCTCGTTCCATCACGTCAGCGCCGCCACTCAGTCAACATTTTAACAGTGCAGTGACGTCATCGTGATTGTCGCATTATCTTTTGGCCAACTCAACACGCCCCTACCAAGGGCGTGTTCGTGGGCGTTCGTCCTCTTTCGGACAGGTTCTTGCGTTCTACTTGTACCATGGAAATTTCCACTCTCGAAGGCAGCAAGGGTGCATACACAGCACTCTCGTGCTGCTAGTTTTGCTTCTATTTAATATTGCACATAAATATAAGGACAGGCGGTCACAAGGGGCACTCGCATCATGGCGGCAACGCGGCTGTGATTAGATATGTCAAGAGCACGGTGAAATTTAATGCGAGACATCGCGGTCGCGTGGTGATATCACTTCTACTTCTGCGTGCGTCTGTGCATAGTCTTCTCGACAAAGCTGATAGATTAATCATGCTGCTCGACGTGAGCACTGCTCCTCGGCAAGAGCAAACGTGGTGGGCGTACCCGATCTTCACCGCGGGCGCCTGTCAATAAAACTTATGAACACGTGAACTCGGATACAAACTCGTTGATTATGAGAAGGCCTGATTTCAACTCGCGACTGTGATGGGGCCGGTGTGACTGTCAAGCGTTTGATGCCGTGAACGCTGAGCGGCAGATTCTTTGCATATAAAATAATTTGCTGAGCTTACACTACTTGTGCAAGACATGAGCATTAGAGGAGCTTGTGATAACCTAGATACTTGCAGCTTTCTAAATTGGTCGTCTACTAATATGTGTGTGGTCGGCTTCGAGGTGAAGACCACATCAGCTCTGTCTCAATTTTATTGTACTAATTGGCTGATGCTTAATTACCATTACACTGAGCTGTCTTGTCTTCATAAATAAGGCTTCAATTAGAAAGCAATTATCTCGGGCGCAGTTAGCAAGGTCATGATTAGTATGTGGCTTTTAAGCGTAATCCCAATTAGCAGGACAATAATTGTCATCATATTAGTGAGTGCTAATTAGCATATTTATATTTAGTGTACTAACGTCGCGTTAATTAGCATAGTATAGTTAGCTCATCAAGTCGCATGCTTTAGTTAGCCCGGTTCTAGCTTCACATGGCTTCACTAGCACTGTCTTCTGATGTAGGCGAAAATGCTGGAGGCACGTGTGCTCATATTTAGGTGCACGTTTAAGATCCCTAGGTGGTCGAAATTTCCGGAGCCCTACACAACGGCGTCTCTCATAATCATAGGGTGGTTTTGGGACGTTAAACCCCACAAATCAATCAATCAACATTAGGTTGTTGGAACACACGCGTTCTTTGCAAGGCAATGTATATTCACATGTGTCGCAACATGTTGCGCAGTGCCATTGCTCTCCTATCTTTCATGAAGCGAAAGCTCTATAGACACACTTATAAAGCCACACGAGAAATAATGGAAGCTTATATTATCAAAAAGAAGGGTGAACAACGCATTAGCGTGCCTTCTATAGCCGTACTTGATAACGAAGTTAGGTTCTTAGATAGCATGATATATCTTGACTTTTCTGCTGTTGGAGAGTACACATGTGGTGTATCAAGGTTTTTTGTCCGAGATGTCAGCTGACCTGCCGTTTTCTTGCTCTAGTGTGGTCACACGGGTGTGAAGGTTGAAGTGTTATGTTTTCGTTTTTGTTTTTCAATCAATATTCAGTTGCGAGTCAGTACTGTGGTTCGTTCCTTCTTTTCTTGCGTCCACGTAGTCGTGCGCAGTGTTGAATATATGTTCCAAGTACTGCCATCAAGTGGCCCAGTTTTCAGTCCTTCTACCATACTTTACAAGTCACTCCGAGCCTTTGGAAGAATACTTGGCTGACGTGTGGGTATGCGTAGCAGAGAAAAAACTGTTGAAAAATTAAAGAGTGGCGCTGCCAGCTACACTTGACGCAGCCTTTGCGGTTTACTGTTTCATAAATAAGAAGTGTAATGTTTTCATTAGATTACGAGGAAAAACCGCGAGGAAGAGTATTGTGCTAAAGCCTCAGAGAGATTGTGTAACTTCGTATTACAGCTCCACAGCGCGAAGTAAGCGTGGGAGCGTGGTGAAGAAAGCGGCCATCCTGCCCTATTAAATGCAAAGCATTTCTTGGCGAACCAAAGACGTGATGATTGATGTGTGTTTATTAACGTTCCAAAACCACCATATGAGTATGAGAGACCCCGCCGTAGTGGAGGGCTCCAGAAATTTCGACCAGCTGGAGTTTTTTAACGTCCACTCTAATCGGAGCACACGGGCCTACATTTTTGCCTCCATCGAAAATGCAGCCGCCGCAGCCGAGGTTTGATCCCGCGACCTGCGGGTCAGCAGCCGAGTGCCTTAGCCACTAGACCACCGCAGTGGGGCTGGAACCGAAGACACCTTGAATGTGTCTATCTATCTATCTATCTATCTATCTATCTATCTATCTATCTATCTATCTATCTATCTTCGTATTCCTGCTCACGGGTTTTTTCATTACCTTATTACAAAACCAAACATTCATGGTATATATTCATGCATGACCAACACTTATGTGAGGTCATAACATAAAAATCCTGACACGTGTGTCATGTACATCATGATGTGTGCGACACACTTTTGATGCTCTCGTGGCGGTTTCAATGACTTTGTTATATCAAATCGGCATAGCATGAGCGTATGACAAACATAAATGGCAAATCATAGCATGAATATAATGTTATGCAGGTCATGTACATCATAGTACAGATGACATGGTCTTGGTGCTCTCATGGCCGTTTGATTGACTTTGTGTACGAAAATTGGCGTGGTATGACATGGCGGTATGAAGAGCGTGGATGACAGGTCATGGCAGAAATATTGTGTCATGCATGTGTTAGATGTCATTGCATACATGACAAGGTCTTGTGGCCCCCATGGTCATTTCACTGACCTGATATATACCAAAGCTGGCATGACGGAACATTAGTGTATGACCAACATGAGCTCAAGGTCAAAACTTGAATAGTAGGACGTGCATGATACGTACATCACGACACACATGATATGGTGCCATGTCAGGGTGGGCGTTTCATTTCCTTCCTATATGCTAAAAGCTTCCAGTGACGTACGTGTAGGTCGAACATAAAAGCAGGTGACGACATGAATGTTTATAACAAGAATGTCATCTTGATCATAACATGAATTATACAAATGACATCATGCGAATGCGAGGATGTCATCGCAGTTTCATTGGCATGGCATAGACTATACAATGCATATATACGTGTTAGAAACGTGCCACAGGGAAAACATGTCATCACCCGGCTGACATGACTTCTCTCAATGTCAAATAGAGCGTCTTATGCACCTCCTTACCGAGTTCTTCGGATAACATTTATTCCCACAGTGCGTCAGATCTGCCGGATTTTCAAAGTGTCTGCGAACTATACTGCATAACACATTATGAAGTTAATAGTATCAAAACGGGCATCGAAAAAAGGGGGGTGCACTCTTGGTGATTAATCGAGTCTTGCAACAAAGCATGTACTTCAGACTGCTGTTTCTTGGGTGAGTTGGAAATTCATACTCGGGAAGGTAGCGCTAATAGACAAGGATGAAATAAAGGCGCACTGACACACAAACCAATGTGCTTTCTTCTGTGTGTCAGTGTATCTTCCTTTCGTGCGTGTCTGTTTGGGTTATCTTTCCAAAGGATTTACAGTTTCAAGATTATCTGAACCTAATGTACGAGTTCATAGCGTGTCGGAAGTGCAAAAAAATGAGGGTTTTCCGAGATGTAGTTATCCTTGTTGCTCACAAGGACGCTGTGCATGAATTCTGGATGAAAGGCTTGGTTTAAAAACTTTTTCAACAGCCTGTCACTTGCTTAAGCTATTCTAGCTTTAACCGTACTACCATGCCATGTCAGCGAGGCAAAGAATTTAGAATGATTGATTCTGGTGTTGTTTTGTGCATGGTGGCAGAGCGTTGAGGTGGAAATACTGCAATAAAAAAAGACAGATAAAGTAAATTAAAAATTGCTGCTCCCATCAAACGCTAGGAACGTGCGCCCATGGCTTCATAAGGATGGCTCAGTGTTATAGATAATCGGAACTATGGCCTAGGTCAATTTTGCTCTGTTTCCTTCCTCACGGAATTCGTCTCATAATGCGGAGAGTTTTAGCACTATGCTCTTGACAGCGCGAGACAAAGCCCTGTCCACTCCACACTCAACATTCGCTGCCCGTGGTATGAACCTTTCACCGACGTGAGATGTGAATAGGACAAAGGCGAGCAGGCGCGAACGTACTTGCCTTTAGACCCGGCTGTGGCACAGCACCGGGCCAGGACGAAGTCAAGAGTGGTTCACTGTTGTTTTCTTCCTCTCTTTCTACTTCCAGGGACCCCGTGGGAAGCGTGGAAAGAAAGGAGACAAGGGCGATAAAGGCGATCAAGTAAACAATGCTTGCTTTGCATCACTGTGCGTTTGTTCTCACTCGAAAATGTGCGAAGGTATAGAGGGTCATCTCAGTGAGGTCCCAGCGAATCACATTTAGTCAATACCTACTCAGGAAATAAGATGAACGAAAACCAAACGAGGGCTGTTCAGGAGTTCAGGAATGGCGTGCGTGACAACAGTGAATAAGCAGAAAAAAAAGCATAAAGCAATGGCTTGTTGTTTAGTGGTGGCAGTGATAAACCGCTGACTTACTCAGTTTGGCATCTTGGATAGATATGATGGAAACGGGAAGGTGGTTCTAGTCTCTGATAGTACTTAAAATTGAATAAATGTACAGGTTTGCTTTTAGAGTAAAGTACCGACTTTATGTCTTTGACCAACAGGTGGGAGGAGTGAGGTATACCTAAGGAGTGAAGTAATTTTTTTCATTCGCTCGGCTAGCTGCGCTCCTTTAACATTAGGAGAACGTGAAGGCAGGGCTACTGCTTCGTGGTGGCGCTAGCGTGGGGAGGAGGTGGGTCACGACTGTCAAAACAAGTCTATATAGAATCGGCATGCACACGTGAACATATGATATAACGAATAAGGAGATTCGCTAGCCGGCGTCTGTAGTGTCGCCCACAAAAATCTCAGCCTGAAACTGAAATCATGTGGCTTATCGTAACTGGCTACTGGGGATACCACCGTGTTTTTTCTTTTCTTATAAAAACTCTTTTCTTCGCTAAGCTGCTACTTGTTTGGATGTCCCAACTCTCGAGTTCTAGATCGGCATGGGCATTATTCAGAGAAAAACAGCACTAAACACAGGGCATTTGGCCATAGGAGGCACAGGACGTGGCAATGACTTTAGCACACAGAAAAGCTAAGTGGAGCGCCAGTGTACGTACACTGCATGGAATAGCCAAAAAAAAGTCCGATTTGAACGTCACACTCGATAGTTTATCTCATGAGAAACGATTTCAGCCTACAAAAATTCTCCAATTATTGCGAATGACTTTACACTGTCCATTGTAGGCGTCTTGTCAAATTCCACTTTTGGCAAGAACAACCATTGATGTTCGAGGCATGGTGTTACAAGAGGTTATTTGTGCGCCTAAGTTTTGAACTTAGCGTATGTGTCTTACAACGGAAGGAAAGAAGTGAGTGTACATTTGAAGGCTCATTTACTTTGTTAGACATATTATTAGTGAGATATGACACAAAATCATGCCAAGGAAGGTATCATCATCACCAGCCCGACTACGCCCACTGCAGGACAAAGGCTTTTCCCGTGTGCCGCCAGTCAACTCGGCCCTGTGCTTTCTGCTGCCACTCTATACCCGCAGACTTTTTGATCTCATCTACCCACCTAACTTTCTCTCCCCTTCACCCGCTGCCTTCTCTTAAAATCCAGTCTGTGATCCTTAATGGCATGCGCTTATCTTGCCTTCGTGCTACGTGCCCTGCCCATGACCATTTCTTCTTGATTTTGACTATGATGTACACCCGTCACGAAGGTAGTATACGAGAAATTATTGGTCAGCTGACAGCTCGTAATAGGATCACGTACTACGTAATATCAAACAGGCAGAAAAAAAGTGTTCCAAACTCACCGTCAAGGCAACTGGCCACGCTAACTGACGTTGCCACATTTAATTTACCTGTACCCCAATAAGTGGACGGCGTGATGGCCGCCGTGGTAGCTCAGTTGGTAGAGCATCGGACGCGTTATTCGAAGGTAACAGGTTTGGTCCCTCCTCACGGCAATTTATCTTTGCGTTCAATTTCCTTCTTTCACATTTATATTACGATTACGTTTAATAACATCCGCTATGCTTTCCCTGGTATGATTGTCTCTTACATGTCATTAATATCGTTCCTGACAACGTAAAACTAGAAATGAGGGGGGTCGTCATAAACATGGTAGTTTATAGATGAGTGATATAAATGGAGGATCTCAATAGAGTGGTGAAACTATCCGGGGGTTGTCTATTTCTACTGTATTACTTGGTTAACTTTGTATATCTTCTCGCCATTTTTTCGCTTCATATCGCTGTTTGCTCCTAAATGTGCACCAATAAGTTTTCATTCGTATTGGTTACAGGGAGTACCAGGACTGGATGCACCATGCCCGCTTGGACCAGACGGACTGCCACTGCCCGGATGTGGCTGGAAGCCACCAAACACAATAGGCGTATGGGCCATTACTCTAATATCGCACGCATTTCGTAGAGTCTACAGAAATATTTAGAACAGAAAACACGAGAGGCTTGCATTCCACTTGCGCGCGAAATATGCTTGTGTTCCGGCGGAAGTCAAGCCCACGCCAAGTTTTTCGAGTACGCAAGCGACATTTGGTTTATAATTTAAAGGAACAGAGGCATCATTTTGTTTGTAGGTCGCGTTTTTTTTTGCGTCCACGTGTAGTTATCGAACCTCCAGTAACGATTCGCTGCAGATTATGCAACTGAAGGAGGAATGAGTATTTTCAACATTGATTAGTATGACCAGTATCGAGTGCTATTCAAAACAGGTGCCCAGCCCACCAATTTGCACTGCTGCCATCGCTGCCGTGTGATCACCTCCCGCGATCACATCCCTAAAGGGCCCCTTCTGATTAAGTGGCCACACAAAACAATGACGAGAATTTTAGCGGCCATTTAGTCTGTTACGCGAGCACGTCTAGACATGTCTTCGTCACCAGCATCGTTCTCGCAGCCGTCATCAGGCGTAGACAAGTGGTGAATAAAACACTGACAATTTGTAATCGCTGTGATTCGCTGCTTCGCGAATCGTTTTCGCTTCAGTCCTCCGCAAAGCAGCTGTTCTTAAATTGGCGCCAGTTCCAACACCGACGTGAGGGCATCTGGAGACGGATGTACACTTGGACCGAAAAAGAAAAAAAGCGTTGTGGACTGGACTATCACTCAAATGTTGTTCTCAGAAGTAAGCCATTCGGTGGCTAACAACAACAAACGGCTCACTCCACGCAGATGGTTCGCGTCTGTCGATACCATTACGCCGGGTTGGCTTTCTTACACCATGCGCTCATGTGCGCCCCCGTACAAAGACACAAACACACACATCGCGCGAGCGCGGTGTCTGCGCTCTGTGCATCTCGTCCCCAGCTTGGCGTCCATGCGGGCGAGTCTCGCTCGTGTCGCCATCAAACTCTCCGGGCCCACACAATCTCTGGTTCGTGGGTCCAACGTTCGATGTATCGCGGAGACACATAGAGAGTCGTAAATTGCATGCGGAATACTACCTGGAAGCCAGGGACGGATTCAGAAACTCATTATAGGGGAGGGGGGTGGTTGCCTGAAGCAACACCTAATAGGGGGGCGTGGTCATGACTTACTAGAAAAGAAACATCTTCTTAGTAGAAATGCAGTTGTGTGCTCACAGTGGTTTCACTAATCTAATAATTGGTAATAGGAGGTGAACTACGAGCACAAAAGCAAGGGGGGGGGGGGGATACTAGCACGAAATGGGTGAGGGGGGGGGGGCAATCGTCTTTACCGCCACCCACCACTCTGGATCCGCCACTGCCGGAAGCCTTTATGAAATCCCATTGTAACTCTCCACGACGACGATATTCCTTCTAGCGGTACTTCAAACGCCACTGCTGTCGTGCCCAACTGTTTTACGACATGCTGGCACGGAATGCTGTAGAGGTCGTTGCTCTGAATCATCATACACTGAGGAGCACATCACAAATGTTTCGAGGCAGCGTGACGAAAGGACGCAAGATTTGAGACTAACTAACCCAGAAGATCCAAGTGAAGCCGTTGTCAGAGGTTGCCACGAGTCGACATCACGATGGCAACAACCAGATCGCTGACGTTGACGTCGCTAGCGCATCTTCACTCGGAGCCTAGGGTGTCTAGCCTGGAGGCCCGAGCTACGTGCCTTTGGCCTTCGTACACTGTTTGCCCTTGAAATAAAATAATCCCATGCAATGGACACAATTAAAACTTCACTCAAAAAGCTTATACATATTGTTACGGGGAGAAGGTGTCTGAAAAACACCTTTACTTTTCGTAAACAGGCAGGCATACAATATGGAGCACGGTCTGCACGAGCGGCTCGTGCGAACGGAAGTGCTTACCGACGCCAGCGGCCACGGAATCGGAGCCGTTTTGGCACAACGACAGCATGGCTGCGAGCGTGTTATTGCATACGCTAGCCGTCTTTTATCGCCAGCAGAGCGAAACTACTCCATCACAGAACGCGAATGCCTCGCACTCGTCTGGGCAGTGGCTAAATTTCGGCCGTATTTGTATGGCCGTATTTGTATGGCCCGTTCACGGTTGTCACTGATCACCACGCCTTATGCTGGTTGTCGTCCTTAAAAGATCCTAGTGAACGTCTCGGCCGGTGGGCTTTACGGCTACAGGAATATTCCTACACGGTTGTCTACAAATGAGGTCGCCACCATGAGGATGCTGATTGCTTGTCGCGTCATCCAGTAGACCCAGCAGACCTTTCTGAGAGCGATGAGTCTACTTGCGTTTTGGCACTTTCCGCGAATTGGAACATCGGAGATCAGCAACGCCGTGATCCTCACACTGCAGGTTTCTCGCCATTTTTCCTCCTGTACGGTCGAGAGCCTACGTTGCCTTTCGACATGCTCCTTCCTGCCGTTAGCCACACGTCAGAATATGCCCTCGATGTGATCTCTAGAGCTCTACAGGCACGTGAGATTGCTCGCCGGCGTCTGAATGATTCGCAGGAACGACAACGACAGGTCTACAACGCGTGCCATCGTGATGTCCACTTCAGTCAAGGTGACACAGTCCTTCTCTGGACGCCGTCGCGGCGAGTTGGCCTGTGCGAAAAGCTGACTTCACTGTACTCGGGTCCTTACCGTGTGGTGCGCCATGTCACCGACGTGACATATGAAATTGAACCTCTTAACGCCACCAGCGCGTGATCGTGTTCTGACGTTGTTCACGTCACTCGGCTGAAGCGATATTACTCGGACCAACCAAGCACCGAGACGGTGCCTTCGCCGCCGGGGGTGATGCTACGGGGTGCCACAAATGAACATTGTAGAAAAGAGGACGATGTTTTAGGGCGACCTCGTGCAGACCGGGCTCCATATTGTATGCCTGCCTGTTTACCAAAAGTAAAGGTATTTTTCAGAAACTTTCTCCCCGTAACAATATCAAGCGATAGAGTTCTCAAGCTTTAAATAGTATACCACTGCTCCTATAAAGCTTTCAAAAATCTAGTAAGAAACAACAACAACAAAAAAAACTTGGTGAGCACTCATGTCTTGTTGTTCTTTCTTTGTCCTCGTCGCCAGTGTACGCTCTCCGCTAGTGATGAATCTCGTAAATAACAGAAAGCCTGCTTTCTCGCTAGTTGAATTTTAGAAACTGAAAACGTTTCATGCGCTTGAATTTGTTGCCAAGTATTGTTTCTAACAGAAGCTTCTGCCTGCCTGCGTATAAAGGCTGGTGCCCACCGGCTACTAGCAGTGGTCGCACGACCATTTGCGACTGCAGACCAAAAAGCGAGTGTTGTTCACACCGGCAGAGGCTGCGTGTGAGCGACGCGGTAGTCGCAATAGCGGAGAGTCACGTCCGGATCTCGTTATCAGTGAAAACTCTGGAGACCGGCACCGATCAGCTGATCGCCGCCAGTTGAGTGAGCGGAGCAAACTGAGCGCGCCGCATTTCTTGTATTTATACGTTATCTCCAGCACAATGAAAAAACAAACAACAAAAATTGATTGATTTTGTAGGGTTTAACGTCCCAAAACCACTATTTGATTATGAGAGACGCCGTAGTGGAGGGCTCCGGAAATTTCGACCACCTGGGGTTCTTTAACGTGCACTCAAATCTGAGTACACGGGCCTACAACATTTCCGCCTCCATCGGAAATGCAGCCGCCACAGCCAGGATTTGATCCCGCGACCTGCGGGTCAGCAGCCGAGTACCTTAGCCACTAGACCACCGTGGCGGAACAACAAAAATTGAGCATCGCTGATTGGTTTCAGGAGATTTGCGACCACAGTCGCGCAAACTGAAAAAATCGGTCAGAAAGCGACTAGCCGGAACAGTCGCTTTATATATTTGCGACTGTTTGCGACCAGTCGCAAATGGTCGCGCGACCGCTGCTAGTCGCCGGTGTGCACCAGCCTGAAGTCACATTCAGAGTACGCGGCCGCCTTGTGTAGACTATATGTAAGCTTTTTTCTTGAGCGCTTATTATTTTAGTGAGTGAATGGCCGCGTGCCGATCTATTTCGATACGTTATTAACACTACATGAAAATGGAACACTGGCGAGAGCGGTGCTCTCTTCAACTTAATTGTCGTTCTTCATGTCCTATTCACCGCGTCGAGGTGTCTATTACGGTGACAACATTTGTCCAAGTGAGCGTTGAGGAAAGCGAAAAGTGTATAATTAAATACATAACTGTTAGACAATACAGTCCCAGATGCCAAATCAGTGAAATGAAATGTAAGTGATCTATCTTGTAAGGTATAAAAACAATAACGCTACGCCTTCAATCGTGAATGTACAGTTTTGTTTGAGCTCAACGTGTCCTCTAATTTCTCGTTTGACCTCTTTCTTTGAAAAAAAGCAAGCATTATAGCTGCAAGATCGGATTATACTATGGAGGACACAGTGGCTAGAGCAGTTCTCTATTGAGCACAACTGCAAGTGTTTATTCCTGGATATGGTGGAAGCATTTCTGTGGCACAGATCCTAAGGTCCGTCTCGTATCGGGAGTTTGTCCCTTTACGACAATTATGAAGGTTCTACTATTAATACACTGTCCGACTGGCATTGCCGGCAGCCACCACTGTCATTAATAATCGCTGGCTGCCCATGAGCTACACGGAAATGGCGGGGGCCTCTGGTAGAACCAACAGTAAATATTTCCTATTTCTCTGTAGGTTAAAATTTGAAGCGTTCTAGGGTACTGAAGCGTTCTAGGGTCGATGTCGTCGAACTCTCATTCAGTGCGTTAAATAAAACACCGAAATCTTGAAACCATAAAAGAAAGAATCCTGCCAAGCTGCAGCAAGATCTGGAGGATTAATTTCTTACATTTGTTGAAGCAGCCTTGGTCTTCGTTTCCTGGTAGGTGCGTATGTGTCGTTACGTTATGACATAGTGGGTGACCGCGTGAACGCAGAAAATCATGGTATTCGCCGCGACTGGATGGTGCGTTACGTTA